CTCCAGGTCCTGACCTGCTTTACCAAACTTCCTGGCATGGTTTTAAGTCCCACAAGTCATGACCTTACCTAAGTCATAGCAAAGATCAATGAAACAACTGACAAAAGGTGCTGCAGAGGGTACGGGGAAAATGGAACCCACACTTACTGTTGGTGGCATTTCAGACCAGGCAGCCACAACAGAAATCACTGAATTCTCCAAACCTAAGATGACATCTGCCATATAACCCAGATCTGCCATGAGGACTTGACATCCTACCGCACAGAATGTGCTCAAGCACATTCATTGCTGCCCTATTCACAATAGCTGGGAAATGGAAGCAATCTAAATGTCCTTCTACTGACAAATGGATAATGAAAAGGTGGTGCATATACAATATTGGATGCTATCCAGCTGAAAGAAAATGAAATCGAGAGCTTTGCAGGTTAAAAAAAAAAAAAAAACCTAGAAAAGATCACATTGAGTAAAGTAAGCTAGACCCAGAAATGCAAACATCAAAAACTCTCTGCCATTTGAGGCTCTAGCTCCAATTCTTCAGATGTGACTATATAACCTGGAGTAACAGCAGAAACCAGGAAAGTAGAAAAGGACTATTGCCAGCTTAGGAGGGTGGTGGAGCAACAGAGAACAGCAGGGTATAGGTGATCTCAGTGGTGCAACAGGAATTCATCAGGGGGTGGGGCTAATTAGGAAAAATGACGGAGATTAGTACAGAGCGTGAGAGAAGGATAAAACAATAGTTAAGATATCTGAAAAAAAAATTGTAAGAAATCATACCCAGTCACTAAAAATAGCACCAATACTGCCTGTAAATCTGTATAAATATAGATATAATTCAAATGAATTTTTCTCATCTGAGCTGACAATGCTTCCTCCAAGAGCTAAAGACATCTCAAGAAAATTCCCAACACTAGGCTAATTCAGTTGCTGGTTAGGCTTGTCTAAAAGACTCCCATAACATTACAGACTATTGCTATTGACCTTGGTTTTTCCCCAGAGCTGGAAGGTGATCCCTATTGCTGAAGCCACCATGTATTTCAGATGCAGAGCCCAGAGCCCTCTGAGCGGGAACTGATTTAAATATTTCCCCCATGAAGATAAGCTTTCATGGCACCAGAGGTATTTTGCAAACCTCCAATGGAGGGAGTCAACCAACAGTCCTATCCAGACATGACACCTATGAGTCACAAGGATGACTAACAGGTCACAAAAAAACCCTAAGAGTAAATTGTGGCACACATAGCTTTATGGTAACTAATAGCTCTCTAGTTAGACTTAAGACTTACTTTACAAGAGGAAAATTGTCTTGTGCTGGAAACCTAGCCAACTTCCCAGGGCTAGAAAATTCATGGATTTTAGAGAACAATGGACACTCACCGTTTTACTAAAACAGCATAATCCCTAAGTACATATTACACACTTGTCCTTATAACCACAGGTAAGTTTAGTCCCCACTCTTCACCACAGAAACATTCCTTTGCAAGAGGTGAAGACCACTTAAAAAACCCACAACCAATAAAAATGCAGAGTCACTGAGTCCAGGTCCCAATGGATGTATCTATAAAACAACCCCTACACCTAAGTCTCAGGAAGAGGGACAGAAAGATTGTAAGAGCCAGAGGATCAGGGAGTTTGCTGTGAGATTGCGCTTTCTAGTAATGTCAGAAGCTCCACCCATAATGTCTCACCAACCTGACTACCTAAACAAGAGCTGAACAAGGATAATAACAATAGTGGATGGAGGAATGATCAAGAGACCTCAAGCCTACACCAAGAGCTATAGGCAACTAAGGAATTCTGAGAGCTGAAAAATGTGCCCTAGGGAAGAGCAGATGACCATCTCTGAAAACACATGGGACAAATAACATTATACAGGCTGAGCAGATTATATTAGTTTGTGTGTGTGTGTGTGTGTGTGTGTGTGTGTGTGTGTGTGTGACAACAATTAATGAAAAAAAACTGGATTTGAAAGAAATCTCAGAGGGAGTTTATAGGAGTATTTGTAGGGATGAATGGGAAGAGAAAAATCATGTAATTTTATTACAATCTCAAAAATTAAAGAAAAATATAAATTTAAAGAAAAGGAAAGACTTTTCAGTAGGGAAATGTTTTCTGACTTTCTGCTTGGAGAGCAAGTTTCTCATCAGTGAAAGAGATATGTATAGACTTTGACACAAATAAAGATTGCTTAGCTTCACCTATGAATTGACAAGTTTGTGGCATTATTTTTCTAAAACTGAAGCCAACTCATGTTAGTTCAACTAAAAATGGTCCCATTATACCTCATTTTAAAAATACTACCATTTATGTAAAATACTATAATTCATTGACACAATTGGGATGACGTGATAGTTAGTGTTAACTATGTAATTGTCAGAATCCGGACAGTCATGTTAGAGGTGGGCCTCTGAGGAATTATCTGGATTAAGTTAACTGATGTAGAAAGACTCGTACTATCTATTGGTAGGAGAGACCCATATTATCTGTGCGTAGAAGCATTCCCTGGGCAGGGATTCTGGGAAGAAAGCTAAAATGAAGAAAGCTAGCTGAGGCTGAGGATTTACTGCTCTGGTCTTCTGACTGAGAAAGTAATGTTACCAGCTGCTTCAGGGTGCTACTGCCTTGACTTTTCCTTCATCCTGGACTGTACCATGAACTGTGAGTTAAAACAGATATTTCTTTCCTGAAGTTGCTTTTCTTAGGGTATCTTATCACACCAATAGGAAAAGAAACTAAAACAGATGACCGAGCTTCCTCAGAGGTGATTAGAACCAACTGACACATGTATGACCAGTGAAGGTGTGTGTGTGTGTGTGTGTGTGTGTGTGTGTGTGCCTGTGGGTATATGTGTAGCAATGAGACTGACAAATTCAGACTGATTAAGATTCTAACTATAGCATAGGTCATTTGACATTTACAGAATATGAGCATTTACAAAGCCATGGGAAGATCATTTGGGTCTCTGTTATATAACATTATTTTGGCTTAATTTGTAAAGGTTAATATACATTTTAAAAAGTTATGTGTTACTCAATAATCAAAGCCATGTACCTTCATTTTACATTGTGCTGTACTTCTGAGCTACACTCCTAGTTCTGACTCTGCCTTTAAAAATCAGCTTTAGATATCATTTTCACCCTACTCAGGGCGGCTAAGACCAAGAAAACAAATGACAAAAAAAAAAAAAAATGCTGGTGAGGATGCAGAAAAAGGGACACCTCATCACTGCCAGTGGCTTCACAACCTGGTGCAACCACTCTGAAAATCAGTGTAGAAAATTTGCAAAAACCTAAAGGTACATCTTCCCTGTTCTACATTCCCTTGTCACATACTGAAAGGACACAACTTTCTACTACTTGATTAGCCATGTCTGTTGCCTCTCTATTCACAACAGCCAGGAAGTGGGACCCACCTAAAGGTCCTTCAACGGATGAATGGAAAATGAAAACGTGGTACATACACAGCAATGAAATGCCATTCTACTATAAAGAAAAATGAAATCATGGAAAATGTAGGTAAATGGGTGGAATTAGATTGTATTATATTGATTTTAGTATCTCAGACCTGGAGAGACAGATGCTACATAGTGTTTCTTGTTTGCAGACCCTTGCTCAATTTTTTCTGTTTTTGGATGTATAATTGGGACTGACTGCAGAAGACAGAAAAGTAGGAAGGGACTGTGGGTGATGGGGTAGGAGCTCAGGGCAGGGGTAGTAAGACACAGGTGTAATGAAAGTGAAAGTGAAAGGGGGAAGTGGGGTGGGGTGGGGGTTGAGAGTTGAATGGGGAGAGAGGAGGATAATTCAGAGTGAGGAAGAAAAGAAAATAACACTACGAATGTTTGAAAAAAGTCATAGGGAAATATTTCATAAACTTACATAAAGTATGCACAATATGTGTATATCTAGGTTTTAAAACAAAGTTTTGCTCTCGGGGTGACATGGAATTTGGGGGTAACCGTGAGGCTATTTTCTCTTCCTGCTTTGTTTGCCAGTTGTAACAGGTGTAGTTTCATGGTGTATGTTCTGCCTTAACCAAGTAAATATGTGTACTGAAAGTTGGCAAAGTGTTTAAGACTTGCCTCGTGGAAGATCCGTTTTCCTAAATGTCTTTCCTCTCTGTCCTGTTGGAAGTGATTCCATAATTTAACCAACTCTAGTTATTAAATAAATATTTAATTCACTATTATGTGTGTGTGTGTGCCTTGCGCACATGGGCATGCGGTGTGTTTGTCTGAAGACATGCATGTATGCCATGTGGCCCTGTGGTACAATGAGACAATTCTGTTTCCATCTGACATTTCCAGGGAGGAGCTCAAATCTTCAGGCTTTCCAGGGAAACTTTGTTGCCTGCTTAGAGATCTTTCTGAACCTAAACAGTTCTATTTTCTGCTCTCTGCACTCAGCATTCCATACTAGCCGTTTTCTTGTTCACCTCTACTTATTTGGCCTCTAGCTTAGGTCTGATACAAGTTCAACCAATGCTTCAGTAAGTTCTGTAACTTCAGACAGCATCTGAGTCTTATTGTTGGGTGTGTATGTGTGGCGGGGCGGAGGGGGGACTTCAAAGGTGAGGTGCATTGTGGAGTCCGAAGGTAGGGTTCTAGCAGAGTCGGACCGAAAGATGTTGGCAGGAACTTACACCAACCTTTTGCAATCACCTGTCCTTTCCATGTGGGTTAACTGTCCTGGGCGGAGTGGACCATCCCACCTATAGGAACCTTAGTGAGAATGTCTTTGGGGGTAGAAACTTCAGGAAGACCCAGTGATGGGTCCATCGGTATTCATCCCCAGCTCCCAAACCCGGTGTCCTCTAAAAACCTTCCCAGAACTATAGAGGTGAGACAAGATGGTTTCCTCCAGGAGAGGAGACACCAGGCAGTCTTCTCACCCAGCCCCGCTGTCGCCGCGTCCCGCAGCGCGCTCCACAGACTTTGCGGGCTGGGAGCCCGCGAGCGCGCGCCCGTGAGGTGGATCGGGGGCGCGCGGCGAGGGCGGCCTGGCACGTCCTCGAGCTCCGCCGGCTTGGCGCGCATCCTCCTGCCGAAGTAGGCTCGTATCCCCGGCGTCCGCCTGCTCGTCCCGGGGTGCGGACCAGCCCTGAGCTCGCCGTGCAGCAGGGCTTCTTCGGACGGTCCTCGCGGAAGCCATGGGCCGCCGGCTCGGAGGGGTGGCGGCGCTGCTGCTCGGGCTGCTGGTGGAGGTAGGGCCACCGGCTCCCCGCGCCTCCGGGAGCGGGGACGCGGGAAGGGCACTGCGGAGCTCGCGAGTCTGTGGTGTGGGGCGGCGGAGGGGCCTGTTGTCGGGACCCCCAGCCCTCCGCCGCCTCCTCCTGTCTGCGCCCCGTTTCCCCCTCGCTGCTTGCTTGGGTTTGCGGCCCCGGCGGGGGAGGGGGCACCTTTGTGCGTGTCCACACGCGCTCCCGGTCGCTCGGGGCCTGGGGCGGCGCCTCCCGCAGCTGGTAGGAGGGACAGGGACATTTCTGCCTTTGGAGATGAAGTGCAGGCTTTTAAAGGCGAGGAGATAAATTCCGCGGGGAGCTTGGGTGGTGGGTGAACTGAGGTGAAGCCGCGGAACTTGATGGTGGGTGGAAGCGCCTCCGAGGTACAGCCCGGGTTAGACCAGGGCTGTGGTCGACTGAACTGCGACATCCTGTGATGCGAGCCACCCTTCCTGATCAGCGGGTTTATTCAAAGGCAAAGCAGTGGACTTATGGTGTGTAAAATCTGGATTGGGTTTGGAGGCTTGTTCATACCCCCACAGCTTCAGTATTTTGAAAGATTTTTGTATTAATAAAGTCACTTTAAGTGGGTAAGGATGCCCCGCTGACTATCACGGTCCTGCCTCAGAAACCTGTAAACTTCCTTGGTTGGAGAGTCAGCAGTGCTTGGAAAGATTCTCCTTTATGCTGGAGGGAAAGTCTTTCTCTTGAAGGGTTAAGGGAGCAGTTACTTCATGCTCTAAGTTCGAAACGGAGCAAAAATTGCTCGGTTTTCTTTGAAATACCTCTCCTTTTTTGAACATTTAACGTTTTTGAGAAGTGCCACCTCTGGACTTTCTTTCTTCCCACTTGTTCAGATTTTAAAAAGCTTAGGAACCAAACCCTCTGGATGATGATTCAACATTGCTGTAGAAAAGCAAACCAGAGAGCACGGTTTACAAAAATAAACGTGTGTACCTCAACACATCTCTGTTGAGGTAATTTTTGTAATCTGGTAATCTTATTTGCGTGTGTGTGTGTGTGTATATGTGTGTGTGTATGTGTGTGTGTGTGTGTGTGTGTCTAACACAAGATTATCTAGTGTTCTCTTGTTTCTGTATTTGTGCCACTCCTGTCGCCAACTTAGTTGTGTGTATCCTAAAAGGCAGCTTCAAAAGCGCTGTTTTTATTTTTATTGGGCTAGGTGTTCTTTCTGTTTGTGTTTATTTTTTCATTTTCTTTTCTTCTATATTTTTGTATTTCAACGATGTTTATTGAGGAAATGAACAAGAGAGAACTGGCAGACACGCCAATACTCTAAGGCTTTACATTCAAGGGCCGGCAGTGGAAAAGCCTTCAAACCCAGTCAATTGAATTATCTTTTCCGGAGAGGAGGAAAACCAAAAGTAACCTCAAATATGATGATATATAATTGTTACTTGTCATCAGTTTTTATTTCCAACTTTTAATATACTGCTTTGTTGGTTTGATGCCGTCATAGTGACGTCGGCTAGAGTTGTCAGAATGTATTTTTTTTCTCTGCTGATTCAAAAAATAAGAAGGCAGTAAAAACAAAACATACAGAGAAAGAAGGTGGGG